TTTTGGTATACCTTTTCTAGGTACGTTAGCCTGTGACCACGGAAATTGGCCGAGTCAAGTGATGGATTAGTACGGAGAGATTGAGACAGAAGGAGGTACTGGATAGAGAGACCGGGATGGTTTTTAATGTGAAGACAACAACAACAACAACAACAACAACAACAGCAGTTGTACATGTATAGATTAATTCATCCCACCCAAGATTTTTGTTTAAGCAACAGCAGTGCTTCATACAGCCCTACGCAACATATTGTGCATCATGCCAGTCCTGTTGCCGGCCCATGGTCGCATTGCTTGCGCTGCTGTGCTGATGCCCATTACTGCTGTACAATTCTTGAGTGGCATTTATTACGGTATGCTGCCAGATGTACAGCAGTTGTTGTTGTTGTTGTTTCTCACATTAGCTCTATAGTCCATAAAAAATGGGGAGCCCGTGGTCTCAAAACCCGGCACATACGACGCCGCGAGAAAACAAAAAAAAACAAAAATAGGGTACAAACCACTCGGAAAAAGAAAACAAAATGATCGAAAGAAAAGAACAGGTATCGCACCTACCGTTCGAGAAAAGAGCCCTCGGACACCAATCAAAATAAAACAAAAAAAAAAAAAAAAAAAAAATAAAGGAGGACGCTTCCCACACCCGCCGAAAGAAAAAATCAAAGGGTAACGTACCAGCACCAGGCACTGCGCACCAGGGCATGGGAGTAACGGAGCAAACAGGGCAAAGAGGCGGCAGATGGGCAGACAGCCAGCCGTACAAAAAAACAAAGGCAACAGCAAAGCGAGATCAAGGTACCCAACACAGCAGAGCAGGCAGGGAGGTCATGAAAAAAAAAAAGAAACACAGCACAGAGGCCGAAGGCAATACAAGGACATACATAAAGGAGTATAGCATACGGCAGGGAGGGAAACAGGGCGCAACAACATCAGCCGGGTACAAGTTCGCCACAAGCGCTGCCTCGGCCGCCCTACTCGCTTCTACTGCAGTGCCCGGTCGCCGTTTCTTCCCCCCCACCGCCGCTTCGCCGGTTCTCTTTCTCTTCGGTCCTGAGATGGTCGTACTCTCTGCTTCTGCTTCCCGCGCGCGCTGGCGCTTCGCGGACGCTTCCGCCTCCTGCCTGTGCCATTTCCTCATGAACCATGCCGCCCCGTCCTCGACCTTGTTGTACCACACCTCCGAGTTCTTGGCGCTCTCTTTCCATTTCCCCCCTTCCTTTTCGTCTCCCATGTTGAAGGCCACGAGGTCCTCTCCTAGACGAGACACCCAGTCGCTCTCCTGCCCGCCCCGGTATCCCACGCCCCCCGCCATCGCTCCTAACAGCATGCGCGTGGGGAGGCGGTTGTCCTCCATGCGCATAACGAAGCCCGCGAAACACAGTCTCCGTTTGCGCACGGTGGCCTCGATGGTTTCCTCGCAGCCTGCCTGGATGAGGGCCTGGGCATAGGACAGGGGGCGGTCTGAGCGTTTCCGCTTGCTCCAGCCGATGCACCGTGAGAGGAACTGGTGGTGGGTCCCATTGAGCTTCGTGTCGTGCTCCGCTGTTAGTCTCCACGAGGCGCACCCATACAGGAGAGTCTCCACCACTTCAGCCTGGAGAAGCCGGATCTTGAGCTGGCGGTTGGCCCGTCGCCTGTCGTACATCGAAGCACTGTTCCGGCGGTAGCACTTCCACGCTCGGCAGCTGCGGCTCGTGATCTCCCGGTCGGCCTTCCCGTCCGCGGAGATGGTACGTCCGAGGTACACAAACCGATCTGTCTGCTTGTACGTCTGGCCGGCGGCGCTGACCGTGAACGGGCGTTCCTCGATCCCTTTTGGCAGCATGCACATGATCTCCGTCTTTGGCTCCGACACCATCAGTCCGAACAGGCCGGCCACGCGCACGATGACCGACATCATCTTCTCGAGACTCTCCAGCGAGCGCGAGACGATGGCCGCGTCGTCAGCGTAGAGCATGTCTCACAGGGCCTCTGCGACCGTCACCATCATCGCCTTCTTCCCCGCCGACCTGCCCCTCTTGCCCGTGCACTCCACTCGTGTTGCGATCTTGATCATATCCGCCGTCACCTTGGGGTCCTTGTCGAACTCGGCCACGGCGACCATGAGCATCGCGGCAAAGAACAAGTTGAACAGCAGCGGGGCCAGGTTGCATCCCTGTCGGAGGCCTTGGCCCACGTCGAACCATTCCGAGTACTGCCCGTCGTCCGTTCGGACGCGCGCCCTCATGCCCTCGTGGAAGTGGCGAATGACCGCCAGCATCTTCGGGGGCACGCCGAAGCGTCGGAGCACGTCCCACAATAGGTCTCGGTCTACCGAATCGTATGCCTTGGTGAGGTCGACGAAGCACGCGAACACCGCAGTACTCTTCTTCCTCGCGAGCTCATGGAGCCGCTGGATCGCGAACAGCATGTCGAGCGTCGACCGGTGTGGGCGGAAACCGCTCTGCTCCTCCGGGAGGATGCCCTCTCGCTCGCAGTAGTGGCTCAGTCGTGTAGCGACGACCTTAAGCAGCACCTTGCCGGCGTGTGCGACGAGAGAGATGCCCCGGTAGTTGCCGCACTCCATCGTGTCCCCCTGCTTGAGCAGCACTTTGATGATGGCATCCTTCCACTGCTGTGGTACGTCCCAAGTCTGCCACACGTCCACGACAATGGCGTGGAATTCGCGGAGGAGACCTTGATCTCCGTCCAGGAAAAGCTTGATCAGCTCAGCCGGTAGGTCGTCCGGCCCGACGGCCTTTCTGTTGGCCATTTCCCGTACCGCTTCCTCAACCTCAAGTAGAGATGGGATGTCGTCGAGTGGCACGCACGTGGGCCACCGCTTGACCTTATCAGCCGCATGCCGGTCGATGGTCGGCGACTTGGTGTTGAGAAGCTTGTGGAACCACCGTGCCCACCGTTGGCGAATAAACGTGGGGTCCCGAAGGACCTTGCCGTCCTCGTCCTTGATGTTCTGAGAGGTGAACGACCTCTTACCTTCGACGTCGATCATCTTCAGGTGCCTGTAGAAACCCGCCTGATCCCCCTCGCGGCTCTTCTTCTCGAGCTGCCGTACATAGCCCTCAAAGAACGTTTCCAGTGCTCTCCACCTCGAGTTGCTGCGCTTCTTCCGTGCCGCCTTGAGCATCGCCTTCAGGGTCGCCTCGCAGGCGCTGTTCTTTGAGGCCCCACGCAGTTGCTGCTGGGCCGCCTTAATCTCCTTCGACGCTTCGGAGATCTCGTGCTGCGCTTCGCTCGTGTACCAGCCTCTCTGCCCTCGTGCGCACCTGGCCAGCGGCGCGGTCTCAGCAGCAGCCGACATCACCGTCGCCGTCAGCTCGGCGGCGGCCTCTCCCGTTGGCCGCCTGAGCGCCGTGGGCGAAGGGCGGCTGGAGGCCTTGTTTTGGAAGGCGAGCCGTAGGTGTTTGTCCTTCCTCAACCGCTCGAGGTCGATACGGATCCGGCTGCTTCCGTTGTTCCCCCGCACTCGTCGGTTGGGTGCGACACGAGGGGGGGAGGCGGACAGTCGTATTGTGGTCAGAGTCCTTGAAGTCGACACGTTTGACGGGGAAATTACGCACGAAACGCCGGTCCGTCTGGCGCATGAAGATGAAGTCGATGCGGTACTTCTCCTTCCCCTTGTTGGAGCTCTGGAATTTGTGCTGCACTTCACCTTTCGGTGTCCAGAAGTGAGTGTTGGTCAGGGAGAGTTGGTTGTCTAATGCCAGTCCAAGGAGTCGTTCCCCGTTGTTGTTCATAATGTCGCGTCCGTACGCGCCCATAATCTTGGCATCGCAGCACCCGTCTCGCCTCCTACCAGTGCGTGCGTTGGCGTCNCTCCTGAAGTCCTATCACATCACAGGCGGTCGCGGAACAAATCTGCATGACCGTCATCACGTTGTGGCCGATGGGGTTCCTACCGCTGTAGGCGAGCGTACGTACGTTGAACGTGCCGAACAATAGGTTGCCCTTTAGTGCCTTCTGCTTCGCAGCCGCCTTGACGGCCGCTGCGGTCTCGTGTCACTCTCGGTCCACCTCGCGTTGCGGGTGTGCTTTCTTCCGTATTTTCCGAGCGGCGAATTTCCCCGCGTCAACCCATCTCTGCAGAGCTCGGTTCTTGCCTGGTGTTTTGACGAGGAGGGTGCAGCACTCCCTCCCCGCGGTGCCCGCGGTTGTCTCCCTTCTCCCGCGAGCGGTGCTCACTGACGTGGTGTTTACGAATCGCTCTACTCCTCCAGCTTCGTGGGCCACGCTTTCCGCGACGGTGGTTGACAGGTGCAGTTTGCCGCTTTGCATTACTGCCGCGGGAACAGTGTCCATACACACATCTCGCCGCTACCTCACCGCCACGCTGAGCCAGCGCGGCGGTGAGTTGCACCTCGGGACACCACCCGCCTACTATCGGTTGTGGCCTGGTTCGCCCGCGAGGGACTCACTAGGTCGATTTCGGCCCCGGCCGGGGAGCAGGCCGAGGGGGAAGGTGCGGTGTAAATTTTCATTTTTTAAACAGGCCCTTACCCTGACGACGTGCTCAGAGGGGCTCCGTAGACGTCTGTCGTAAAGGGGAAGATGCATGATATTTCTGCGGAACCCCCTACAACAATCGGTGACAAACGCCTTGACCCCCCTGTTCTCCTCGATACAGGCTCACCCATCATGTCCCTTCGTTCCCGAGCTTCAGGGGGCTGCTCGTCTTCACCGGTCACAGGCTTTTCGGTCTCCCAATAGTGAGCTGGCCGTGGGTCTACCTTATGATTTTGGCGCTGTGCGTCGCGCTTAGCTGCTCCTGGCTGTTGCTCACCCTCTGCCGACGTCTGTGGCTGGTCATCGCCACCGGCATCATGGCGTCGAAGAAGCAGATGGAGAGCCAACTTAAGGAAGAGAGGGCGAAATGGCAGAGGGAGGCAGAGATTGCCACCGCCGCTGCCGTCGCCTCGTCTCAGACGAGTGTTAAGGAGTGTGGCTGCATGAATAGGGTACATCTTATTCTTGATAGGATGCGGGTCGGTCAGGAGGTATACCCTTCTGACCCCTGCCCCTTAGAATTGTCTACTCTGTGTACCCCCTGAGATGAAGTTGGATCCCCACTTCATCCCAGACCCTTGCTGATCGTCTCTCAGCAATAACAAGCAACTTTCCCATCTCAACGTGGTCGTGCACAAGCGTGTCAACGACAGCACCTTCATCTGTCTCTAGGAGCAAGCTACCGCCCACGGCTTCACTCCTTGAAACTTGGCGTCAGCTCGCATTACACGGTAAGCGGGTGATGGACGCGGCTTCCACACTGCTGTGTGTTGTTGCCACGCTTTTTTCACAACCACCGGGTTGCTTGTTATTTGGTCTCACTGCCCACGAGAATCTAGACTTGGCCTCTTCTCTGCTTCCTCTCCTGTAGAGATGATGGTTGTGATGCTTTTGCGAAGCGCCCGCGGGACTGGGACCTTGCAAGGGATACGCGCCTCGGAGGCCATCGCGATGTTATGGGTGATTTTTCGTACGTCCGCCGTTCCTCGAAAGCTATTTTGTCTGCATCGGCGGTCCATGAAGTGATTTCTGTGGCGGATACCCTCTGCATGGAGCGTCCTGAGTTGCTGGCCTTGTGCAGTGGGACCGGAGCTGACAGCATGCTTCCCACGTCTGCTACCACCTCTACTGCATTCATGCCGGCGTACCGGCCGATGTCCGCAGATTTTCCTGTTGTGCTCTCCGATTTGACTCCGCTTGCATCGACTTGGAACGCGATGTGTGCACAAAAATTGAGTGTCAGCCGCCCCACCAGCCTTCCCTCCATTTTTCGAAATCACATGGCAATTTTTTCGGAGAATCTTTCACCCTCAAAGCATTTGAATTGGAAACCTTTCAACAGCGCAAACCCACAGCGGTCTTTGCTCGCACTTCGGCACCAGTTGCGGAGGAACGCCGTGCTGCTCTGCGTGTCTTTTGGTCGGAACACCTCGTGTCTCCATGTAACACGGGCCCCTTTGTGTTAGCTTCTACTGCTGTTTGTGCGTGGCATGGTGTGCTTTTGGACGCTTTTTCTGCTTGGTTGGATCCGCTTCAACCTCGTGTGCACCAAGCTTTTATCACTGGGCGTATGCTATCTTGTGGATATCTCCGCCTTTCGCATGGACCTCGGCTTGCTCTTCCCGAAGTTGCACCCGGCTTTACTGCTTCTGCTGCTCTTGGTGCTGCTGCCTCAACTGCGGTTGGTTATCCTACATCTACTGTTCTGGCCCTGCTGCCCTTTCCACAATCGATCGTAACTACCCTCTCTCTGGCTCTGTTCTTGTTAACAAAGAGGACACCATGTCCAGCGGCAATGTGGAACTCCTGGGCGACAATGTGGAAATCCTGCATTACGAACCCGAAGGCGAGGCTCCCACCGCAGAGCAGTTTCCAGCGGCGGGTGCAGAAGACGAGAGCCCGCCCATGCCCATGGTGTTCACCGTCGATAATTTGCGGGACAACATCGCCACAGCAGATCCGGCGGAACTGAAGCGGCCCTACAACACCGGATGTGTCTCTTTGGAGGATATCGTAGAAGCGGCCCATCTGTCGTCCGATTCCCCCTTTTCGTTCCTCCTTTCTCACTCCCGCCGGAAGACAAATTAATCCTCTTGCCCCACGACGAGTTTATGGTGTACCAAAGGTTGAACGAGATGTGGTGCGACGGTCTTGCCGGGAAGATAGCAGAGGAGATACAGCGTTCCTGTCCCGCCCGCTGGAGATGCCTGCAGAAGGTGCCACCTTCCACGATGAGGACAAATTGGCAGCTCTGTTTGCATGGGATGGCATCAAACAACTTGTCCGTGCACAATTCCCCCCACCGCACACCGTTGCTTTCGGGCACATCTACCACACACCGCACCTCGCGAAACTTCCGCCTTCTTCGCGGCAGTCCGTGTTCCAGCTTTTGTTCGCTCTCCGTCGTGACACCTTTCGTGAAGGTCCTCGAGGAACGTCGGTGGTGACCCAGGAGGGAGGACTCCAGCTGCCTCTTGCTCGTGCTGCTTCGACCAACGATTTCAATCACGATCTACAAGCCCCCCGGCAGGCCTCTTCACGCCCTGCGCATGGTTCTGAAGAGGACAAGGACTTCAGTAGGTCGGCGGCTCCGGTGTCCAAGAGCTGGAAGAACCGTTGAGGCGACCGGGATTCGACGGCCAAGGGCGGGACGGACGACCACCACCGCTCCACCCAGTCTTCGCGAAGGCGCGGCGTCGGAGATAACAGGCTAGGGCGAGCCGTGGGGAACCAGCCTACCGGGTCTTCGCCGGCGAGCCGCCNACCGGGATTCGACGGCCAAGGGCGGGACGGACGACCACCACCGCTCCACCCAGTCTTCGCGAAGGCGCGGCGTCGGAGATAACAGGCTAGGGCGAGCCGTGGGGAACCAGCCTACCGGGTCTTCGCCGGCGAGCCGCCATCGCCGGAGCAGGAGTCAGAGCGCAGAACGTCAACAGCGCACCAATCCTTGGTCTAGGCGTGGGCGCAGCCGGAGCGGAGACCGGCGTGGGAGAAACACGCCTCCGTCTAGGCGTAGCCGCAGCCGGAGCCAGAACCAGAGCGGGGGCAATAGCAGGGCGACCAGCACTGACAGCAGTCGCGGCGGAAAAGGGGGACGGAGGTCAGGCCACGGTAACACGCAAGTGATGTATGATCGAGGTGATTTTTGTAGCTCTGGGTTGTTGGGGGGAAAACAAGGATGCTTCAGAAGACGGTTCTCTCTGATCTTCACCGCTTGTTCTACGCCCTCCCGCTGATGTAGGCCAACCGACCAGGTCTTCTTTGGCTTTCAAACTTGCCAACATGCAACTTCGTGAACGTTCAGCCGCTGTGAAAAGCCATGCCCCTGCCCATGCCGTTATGGATCATCCCACATCTTCCTTGCCTTTGGACGAACCTGTTGAGTCACCACGCCATGCTGCATCACACGCCTCGAACTCGGCTAACGTACTGAAATGCTGTTGGAACAAGTACTCACTCTCCTGCGAGCAAATCAAGTAGTGGATGCTGCTGCCGACGCGAATGTACAACCTCCTGTGCCCCCCCACGCTCCTAGCGTGCCACCACCTGCCCCATCTTCTTCCCCACCAACGCGTCCGACACCGATGCAAGACCACGCTTCGAGCTTTTCGGGAGCTCCTGCGGGACGCGATGTTCGTGCCGAAACCGCTGCCAGGACCACGCCAGGATCATCGTCATCAGCCACGAGGTCGGCAACAGTACCGGTCGAGCCTGCGGTGGCACAGTCAGCGTCGACAGCCCCAACCCTGTTGCAACAGCCTTTGGTGGTATCGCCCCCCCCCTTCCAGCGTGCGTCTGTTCTGATTGATCCTGACTCTGCAGTCGGCCACATCGTCGAGCCACAGAGTCAAGCGGCATCACCGGTGCCACAGGACGATGCTGGTTTGCCTTTGTCTTCCACGGGAGCGAGAGCGAGGCAGGAGGCTCTAGACGCTGCGGACGCCGCTGCAGCGGAGGCCGACACCATC